ACAACAGATATGGCGAGTGGATGAGGCCTTAATCAACTACAGAACTTTGAATAAACAGCATCCATGCTATCATCTACTACAATAGATTGGGCTGGAGAAACTAACAACAGATATTTCGACGATAAATTTGAATCTGCCGGCCGAAGAACGTCTTGAAGTGCTTGGAAAAATACTGAACAGTCAGCGAATACATCCACCGCCGTCAGAAGTGTTTGAAAATGTGACATCTAATGACATTAGATACAAAACGCTTTTTGTTGTTGAAACTTCTGTTGATGGACTATATCGCGGAATTCTATCCTTGTTGTGTATTCATGAAGCTGGTAATATAAACTTAAATGCAAATCGACTACTATTCTGTACAGAACAAACTGATTGGATGGAGATAGAGAACAAAACTCAGAGGAGGGTGCTGAGATGAGTGAATACTGCACAAAACAGAAACGATGAGGATAGTTACAATACCTCCAGGCATTCGGCAAAGTTATAAAATTCAAGAAAGGAGGGGGCCCGCTTTTAATTGGTTTCGGCCTACTGCTTTTTCGACTTTGTTATGATCACATATTGTAGAGAAAACGATTTTACACATTTTGAACTGCATATCAACCATTATAACATTATCGAGACTTCTTAAAATAACTTTTTTGAGGAGGTACATAAAGCATATCGGTGTTTAACAAAAACGATTTTGCTCAAAATCTAATATAAAGTTACGGTAAAGCTTGATATAGAAAAATAGCTCTTGAAAAACTCTACAATATTCTGACTAAACAAATTCTACATATCATTGGCTCAATCCTTTATAGGTCAAATACGAGCCCAAGGACACCTAAAAGTGAACACAGTTGATGTTTTAGTCAATTTACTCCCATATATACGAGAGGATGCAACTAGTCTTTAGTATAGACAAATAGCTCTTGAAAAGCTCTGCAATATCTGTTAATAGGAAACTTGACGAAGCAGCATTATGCAGGTTTTATGAGTTTAATATTAGACTTTTCCATAGGTCGTGGCTATGCCAAGGGAACTCTTGATCACTTTTCTCTATGAAACTAAAGAGGATATCTAATCATTCATGCATCATTCGATGCGCCTTGAGAAGCTCTACAAGATTTGTTAATAGGAAACTTAACGAAGCACAGTGGGTATTCAGGCGGACATATGAGAAAAAAATCGAAAGTGCGCTTTATCAAATACAAATAGTGTAGAACATACTTCATTAAAAGACCTATCGAATGGTGTATAAAGATCAGTTTGAAATAATGTGCTTCTAGTAGAACGGACAGTCCGAAAAAAACACCATGGAATTTTTTCATCGAATTTTGAATTAAAAGTATAATCACTGTTGAAAGTGTTATTCATAAAGACAGTGCACACAGTCGGCAGTATTTTGGACTTTACACTGTTCACAAGGAGAAATACACAAATGTCGTGGACATACCAATGAGGTATCCATAATATTCTGACAAACAAAGTAACCTAAAATAAAATAAAATTCTTGCTATTCAGCTTTCTTACGCTCAAAATAATTTAAAACTTTGAATTGAGCGTTTAGAAAAATTTTGATTGGTATTTTTAAAACAACTTCAGTCTCAGACTTCTCTAAGTTCTCCCATATACTTCGCAGCTACGGCAACTGTGCGACAATAAAATCGAAAGGATTTATATGTCCCTATTCTCTCACTCACTGAAACTGCTGTACTTACTCTGTAAATTAGTTATTTCAATGATTTAATTCTACTTTAAAAAAGTTCAAAAAGCAGATATAAACTGCAAAAAGTTCGAGTATAAAAGAAGAAATAAGTACTTTATATAATAGACACTGTTTTCGTCTCCTTTAAAATGTGAAGAAGAACGCAGATATCTTCAATCACACACGTGTCTGTCGTATAAGTCATATAAAGAAATAAATCTGTGTAAGAATATAAATTCTTTCAAGTTGGAAATGTTAGAAATAAAAAGTATATATCTGATTATTTAAAACATGTTCATTAGTGTGAAAGATATATATATAGGAACTTTCGTTCACTGAGAAATAAACGCTTTTTATAGAGACATCAAGCACGTGCTCTTTGTAATATTTTTCTTCAACAACACACGCGGTGGTCATATAAGTCTATTCGTAACATATAAACTCTTCCAGGTTCAAACATAGTGGAAAAGTACGAAACGTGTTTCTTCGTTTGAAATTTATATAGGATGAAATACACATGTATCTCAGTAAGACTAAATATAATACAACAAGTAGACAAGTATCGACAATAATAACCCCATAAAAGGGCATATTTTCTATTGCATAGCATCGTTATCTAATAGATGTAGACACATTTAAAGCGCTACCTCGACAGTGACTAGTGAATTTTTTATTCAATATATAATTCTGAAACTTTATTAATGATATTGTAATACTATTTGTGCATATAATATCGTTCTACCATGAAGAGTCGTTAAAACTTTAACATACTTTGATACCACATCTAACACTTGTTGCTCGGTTGGCGGTGTTACATATCAAAATATGATGATTTTATTCTAGAGAAGCGACTCTCGAGATTTTTACATATTCGGAATCAGCGTGACGAGTTACGTTGTACGGCGCAAAGATCGCGTCGGGGTCCCGACACTTTTTGGACTCGGATTCTCCACTGTGGATTTTCACGTTATATTACACTATATTCAACAGTAGACATCAACAATGCCGCTTTTCTCCCGTTCTCTTTTATGTTTCATTTTTCTTTGCTTTGATGTTTTTTCTTTCTTCTGAGTCAGACGTTTTCTACTGCTACAAAGTACATTGTGTGACTAACTTCCATATCTGTAAACATTTCCATATTAACGCGAGATAAGACGAAAATTTAAGAATGTGTATGTTTATTTTGGCTTAAATAAAATCGTGTAAGAAGGGCGACTTTAATCACGTACTGATCTACCAAGACACTTCAACAGGTTTCATTTATACTTTTGACTTCAACATCAATAGATTTATTATTCAAAAAAACAGGATATTTACATAAAAGAGAAAGAGTTCACATAGATAAATACACAAATTCAAATTTCAGAGATTCAGAGAATTGTGCAGGTGCACTTTCGCGATGGATGAGTAATGTCCTTTTGCATCATGTAATGAGTAATGTTTGTTGCGTTTTTAGCATCCTCATAATTTCAGTTGTTTTATTCTTGAGATCTTCGAGTTCCCCAACCTCTGCATTGACAGCGTCGGCAATGTTTTGTATCTTTTTGTTTATCTGGATCATAGAACGCTGAAGTACAGCCGCTGTCTGGCCTTGATTATCAAGCATTTTTTTCAAACTTGTCACATCCTTTTTCAGATAGACGACATCCGATCGTGTTGACCTTGATATTAGCTCCATAGTCGAAATGTGATCCGATAGCATGGACATGCTTGTATGCATACATGATCGCCATCCACGTTCGGTATCATCGACGTGATAGAACAGAAGACGGCCTATATCAAGAAGAAGACTGTCGAAAAGAAAGTCAATTGATTTTCTATAAATAATTTCCAAGATTCTTTTTCAATCATCGTTTGGTTTTACATTTTTGGGTAAATATAAGTGCGAATATTTTCACACTTCGAATAACGTCGACTTTTTTTCCTTCTGGACCACAGTCCGTCGAGGGAATTATTTATAGAAAATCGCCGTTGATTTTCAGAAAATCCATATATAGAATCGCCGAGGATTTTATAGAAAATCGATGTCGATTTTCTATAAAATAGAAAATCCTTGGCGATTTTATATAAATATTTTTCAACATTACAGTGTAGCTGATCTTCTACATTTTTCTACTATTTACATAACGATCCCTTTTATTTTGAAAACAAATTTTGGCGTTCGATAGAGCTCGTTCTGGCATACTCATTCGCAGAGATGGCACAGCTTTAGCAAAGAACGTTAGACGAAAATATAGAAATCTGCTGCTAACTTCCCTTACGTTTGCTGTCGACGATGGAAAACATATAGTACAGTAACATGTAGGTAATAGATACCATTTTTGATAAGTTGATGATTTTTTTTTTTATTAAATATGACATCTGTGCTGGAACAAAATGAACTTTGCTGTTTTTCAAACTTTTCCATAAAAATTCAATAACTCAGCGACGAAACACTATTTTGACTGTAAATTTTCGGAATGCACTAATAAGTGTTTACAGCTTAAGTAACATACAAATCATTTGGAATTATTGATACTATTATTGAAACGTTCATACAACAACAGTATTCCATATTTTGCATAAATTGGTGTGTAGTATGAATTTCACTATTTTACCACTTGAATTGGCTTTCATCATGATCGATTATATTCAGTAGATAGAGCTTTCAAATGGCTACAAAAATATGCCTAAATGCTTGACAAAATTTACTTTGTTAATAAGAAATAAAGTAAAGTATAATGAAGAGATATGTAACACCAATTAGTACTAAGCGTAGAAGATCGTATGAAAAAAAATCTTTAAAATATAACCAAGAAATTATACAGAATTCTTTTCTGCATTAACAAAATATTAGGAACTTGAAAATCACAACAAACTTCAAGTCAACAGCGGTTGTCTTGCAGCTCCTTTTTTACTCCCTGGTGAAGATGTGCCGTTCCAGCAGAGATTTCTTATTTAATAAATCGTTTTTAGCATCTACTTATGGTGGAATCTTTTCAAAAATATAATCAGTTCTACAGAGCAGCTTTTTTTTCAGCTCTTTCTAACGCAAAAAGAATCGGATCAAAAGCGAATTCTAAGGCTATAGAAAGACCATTACAAAACGGGGCAAGTTTTTTATGGATCATCCTGTAATATGAACTTCAGCAAAAAAACTACTTTAGATATTTGGAAAATACAGTACGTAAGACAATTTCATTTGTAAGCTCTTGCATAATGTCTTTGACATGTACTTTGAATACTTGAGAATATCGAATTTATCTACCACAAACGTTTGACTATTGGGTTTTTACACATTTTATTTATCATAGATAAAAACATGCAATCACAGAAATTGAGTTAAAAGTAAATTCAATAAGATGATACTCCATAGTCTTAGATTAATTGATGCATCATTGGTAAGTAATTGAAAGGGTCTAATTTCTTCAACTTTCATATATTTCAATCGTGCAAAACGTTCATCTAAATTATTTTCAAGTATCCATTGATGAGAAGTTTCTGCGATCATTGTTTGTTCAGTATCTGTCGTTACTCCTTGCCAATCAAATTTTACTGTGACGTTAAACAGTGTCCCATTATCATATTCTTTCACAGTAAAGTCCTTGTAATGATGACTACTCAATTTTATTCGTACAGGAATACTTTGTATCCATTCTTCAAATTTAATCCATGTATCAACCACTGATTGATTACTGGTTAGATGTAGTTCAAAATTATTTGCAAGCAATTCTAAAAAATCATTTGGATCTCGTGCTCGTTCAATATTGTATAACCAATTATGCATAAACGATTTGACGCGATTCGTTGGATAAGCATTCTTAAATATAATTGGTTCAACTTCTCTGATTGGAGTTATTTTAACGTAAGATAATAATGGAAGATCGTTCGGACGTAAATCTAGCGTCATAATGTAATGATTGACATAACTATTTCCAATTCCTGTGGGTAATATATTTTGATACAACACATCAGCTTCTAATTTGATCTTTGAATTAGGTAATATTTCAATATCTTTTAGAATTTCTATATGATGAGCATTATGCCATCCTCTGTATGTTAGTAAACGATTTGGATAATTATCTTTCCCATTCATAACCCCATTGCTTGATTCAATTGTAACATTGTCTTCCAAAATATCAAGTGAATTATTAATACGTTCCACCGTATATGGCCGTTCATAAACTTGAAACCAACGATAAAATTGAATTAATGTTAAATGAGTAAGTCGCGTTTGTTCATAATAATTAACAGTCGTTTGAGTATATGTTTGTGCGATAATGCAAAGTAGAAGTAAGAAAAAAATTCCTCCAATATTCATCTTAAAAAGCAAGAAAGAGTGAAAAAAGTTTAAAAATGTTATCAGGCATGAATTATGCAGAAAATGTGTGAAACTTAAAGCTCTGTCTTTATCTCTGTAAAAGTATGACAAACAATTTTTTTCTTTTTTTTTGTATTCAAATAGTACTCATTCAACTTAAGTGTTATTTTATCATAATTATATAATCAACTATGATATTTACTAGTGTACTTTAGAATAAAAATAAAATGGATTATGTTACTATTAAAAGGTTTTCGAGTACGCCCTCTGGAATCAAAAGTAAAGTCATAATCTAATGTCAATTTATGTTATTTATGCATTGTAATGCTTAATTTTCATTCTTTTGTTCATTCATTTCTCTTATGAACTAGCACAGCGTCTTCCCAAGCAAAACTCACCTTTGAGAAAAATCTAGATACATTTTGTCTGTAATTGGACGATGCACGACTAGTTGTCATCTAGATTACTAGTTGGAAAAGGGACTTTTAACTAGATGTGTCTGCATGTGTAACTAGCAATAGTTAAATCGATCGATTATCGGGCGATAAATCGATAGTTGCAACTAGAAGAAATCAAGCAATCGTCCGATTACTACATATTCACGGTCGTTACCCAGTAGTTACAATCGAGTAAAAATCTAGTAATCTAGATGAGCTGGGCGATACTAGATCTTTTTTATACTTGGGTTGTGATTTGCCTTATTTTTCTGTGATCTCCGTATTATCAACGAAAACTGTTATGTTATATCGTCTAAGACCTCCTGTCAGCAAACTAACTTAGAATGTCTAGATCTGTTTTCGGTTTTACACTGTCTTTTTATTTTTCTCCTAAGTGAATGTACTTTTTTTGATCATCAAAAAAAGATACGTTTGCTCACCAAATTTTTCAACCTCCCGATATTCGTTATACTATATCCAGTGTTATTGTCCGTTCATCGAAATTGCTTTAGTTTATTCATTCCTGTATGCTATATTTAATAATAATCATATTTCACCCTTATTTTGAGGGCTGTTAGAACACAAAAAAATATGAAGTCTTTTGTCTAAGAAGATCGACCAAATTCAACGACTTATTTTATTATTTTAGTCTTATTCAACCTTTCATACTTTCCATACCTTTCTACTTTTCATCCCTCTTCAGCGGAATGTGATGTTCACTGCAATTTTAGCAAGTGTGCTGGATTCGGCAGACATCAGTAGATCTCCAATGTTCCGCACTTCTTGCTTGGAAAAAACTTATTAAGTGTCTCACTCTAATGTAGTTTCCTCCCCCCGGTTCGCTTTGAGTAATCACGACGTTCGAGCCATAGAAAATAGGAAGAGAATGAAAAGTTGAAAGTATGGAAAATAAGCAAGACTTAGAAAAACATATTTAAGTTGTATGATGAACCCTAATACGTGTAGAATGATAGGGTCAGCCCGCTACTACCTTACAGTCACACTATATCAACCTATTCCTGCGGTACATTCATCTTACACATTTTCTGTGTATTCTAACCGCTCTGCTTATTTTGCTGACTTTCTCGGTATTTTGCTTACTAAACTGTTGATACGTCAGCAAGTTGATGTCTACCTGCCTCGCTCTGTGATCCTAAAAAGTCGGCTGAAAAAGTTCAGTAGTAGTTCTAGCCGTCTTGAAAAAGAAGAGCAGTATACAAAATATACTTTGTATCTTATACACATAGCACAGAGTTAAAGACTTGGAAAAAGAAGCTAACACGATCCCTGTAAACCATAACTCATTCTACACTTTGTTTCTAACTATTTGAATACATACCTCAATGAAACTTCTTACCCCCAAAAAGAAATGTTAAGATATTGGAAAAAACACCAAGACATCAAGATCCTGGATTTTTGCGTCTTCCACTCAAGATCTTGGGAACAGAAATTTCAAGATCTTGAGCGAATCCAGTCAAGGTATTACAAGAGCTTAAGCGAAAAATTTTGTTTATATTTTGTTTTCATTTATGACAGACATAGCCATCAGATGTACGACCATATAGAATCAACCATGTTCCAGCGGGAAAAAAATTTGAAGTGTAAAAAGTGTAAAAATAAACTTCTTAATTTTAAAAGATTGAATTTGATTGCTGTTTTCGTAAAAAAATAGCTGTTTTTTCATACGCTTATTTTTTTACGAAGACAGCAATCCAATTCAATCTTTTAAGTTAAGAAGTTTATATAAGCCGACAAAGCTTTAGTAATTGGAATGAAATTTTAGTGGAAGAAATATGTCACAGATGAACTGAGTTTACACGATATGTTTTGAAAAAAATTGTACTATACCGCAAAATACCAGCAATATCGACCGACCGATTATACTTCATACTAATACCGGTATACCGGTCGGCGTTATAATTTTTATCGGTACCGGTATACCGATATGGGTTACACCTCTGATTCTGGGTACGTCGCTGTTCAGATGATGATGAGAAGCTAAAAGGTTGCTTTTGTGCGGCGACTGAACAAATCATACAGGTAAAGAAAAAGCAAAGCAGCTGTGAATCAAAGTCTTGAATAGTGTCTATAGTACACAACTCTTTTTTTAAAGTTTTATTCTTGGTGTCTAATCAATATGTATATTATTAGGGCTGTGACAGTTACCAGTTACCGTTACTACCGTTACTCGGTAACTGTAACAGTCCTATATATTATACATTAAAGAAAAAATCTATTTTAATCTGTAAGTATTATACATAAACGTGTGAAGCTATTAGAGTCACTATTTCTTAATGTGACCACTTTATAAAGTAATTTATGACTTCCGCCATATCCTTTGTTATTTCTATGTTATTATTTAGTATTTTGTCTAATCGTGCTTAAATAGAAACATGTTTCTTCGCAAGAAAGTTTCCAAAATCGTCTACTGCTTTTTGTTTGTGAATTTAATTCAGAATACGAAACTTGCATGAACCAAAGTGATTGATTCTCAGCATGCTATAAGGCGAGAACTAACGGTTAAAATAAAAACAAAAAAAATATCTTTGTATTCATCGTCACTAATGTTAAGAATAAATTTTCGTTTAGATATTTTCATCATTTGTTGTGAATAGGAATATAAACTGTGACATACATCTTTGAAGATCGAAGAATGACAGTATTTTTGCAAATATGATGTATTAATTTTCATGTCCGTTTTAAAATCAATGAAATTGGTAATTTTGTGTTCAATACAGAATTGCATACAGAATTAAAACTGCATCCCCAACTTCAGCGCGAAATAAAAGTAGTTCTCCGAAATTTCCTTGATTTGGAATATCCATTATCGATTCTGGGAGTCAAGTCCTCGAAAACCGATGTTTTGTTTAGCTAACAGAATACTACAATTAATAATACTGTGTAACATTTTTCTATTTTCCTTTTCTTCGGGATTGTTGTACCGTTAAACCAATTCTAATGCTTGTGTTTCAGATAATTGATGATATTGTCTTTTTTCGTGTTGTCGTAAAAACTACGTAGCATTTTTCAATGATTCCATTCGTTTGGTTACTAGTTGAATAATTGATTCATAGTACAGTCATAAGCAGATGTGTGTCTGGCAAAAAAAACACAATATGAACCTATCAACGCCTTTCAATAATGGTGAATAACTGACCCACTTATGCATTTCTAATCGAGATTGTTGACATAAAAGTCTCTTTCTAGCGTACTATTCTAATTTTGGAAATTCTTCAAAATTGATGTGGCAGACAAGGATTTGTTAGAACATCATGTAGAAGCTTTCGATCTTTCGTGATAGTCGTATTAATATAACCATCAACATCATGAACATACTTCCCTGGTGATATTGTAATATCTGTTGACATTATCGAATCTGCTGCCACAACTTTGTCATTTTTGTTAGCGGGCTGAGCTGTTGATGCTGAACTGAATTCATTTCTTGAATTCATTTCTAACGGTGGCTGCATAATATGATAATATGAATGTTAACATACGTGGACTGGTCAATAGCGTAGCTATATATACAATAATATTAATACCTCAAGTATTGACAAAAACACTTGTTAGAGTAAATTGGTCAGGAATCGATACAATGACATTGAGCATAAGCGGTGGTACAATAAATGCAAATGTATCATTCGGTGGAACATTCGTTGCATTTGATAATATGTGTGTTACATATTACATTTTCCATTATTAAGTTCTAGAACAAAAATATGATGGATTCAAACTGAGAAAGATACACAATTAACGTTTTGTCTCTTATGCAATGATTTTAGAATATGTGATTTCTTTTTTTTGCTTAAATGACGAAAAAAGTTTTCTCAATTTGGTTTAATTTGCAGCTTAGAGATGAGATGAAAGAACAACGTAATACGTTTTCGTTCTTTTCCTCTTGTGTCTTGCTATTATAATTTTCTTGCGTTCTTACGTTTGATGTATACTCGTTTGGTACCCGATCAAAAATGAGAAACTCTTAACGGATATCTTACGAGGGAACCTCTTGAGGTTATAAATCACTTTTGAACTCGGACTACTTGTATCTTGTAGACCTCAGTGAGTAGTGGAATACCCTAAGTTGGTTCATCCCCATGGTGCTTTGTTGTTGAGATATTGAATTTTTAGTCAGTTTTTGCCTATAGAGCTTGGAGTTCGAGCAAAATCCGACTTTCGAATTTTGACTTGAAACTTGCCACACTGGTAGCCCATGGTCATAGTAGTGTGACGGGAAAAAATTCGATCCTAATGACTTTTCCTGCATTGAGATATTGAGACTCGAACATCTGACCCTCACCCTCACCTTCAGGTGAAATATTCGAGTCTCAATATGTCAAGGCAGGAAAAGTCATTAGGATCGAATTTTTTCCCGTCATACTACTATGACCATGGGCTGCCAGTGTAACAGCAAAAGAAATCTATTTCTGCACTGAACCTGTTAATCAGCCTGAAAAAAATAAAAAATCAGAATTGAAAGCTCTAAGTTAACATATTACATAAGTGCCCCTTTTTAAAGAAATTCTAGAAGGTAAGAAGGTCAGTATGACTTTCTTAAAACATGTT